GATTAGTCTGCTCATCAAGCTGAGCATTGTTTTAATTTGCTGGGCCCGGGGCATATGCTGAGTGTTCACATCATTATTGTCTCTGTGCAATGTGAGTTATCACCACAGCTTATGATAATGTGGCACAAATTTACAGGCTGGGGAGCACCATGGATTCTGTGATAATAAAGGGTGGACAGAGGGGAGTGGAAAGAGGTAGAGAGAAATGAAGAAAGTGTGTGTGTGTGTGTGTTCAGAGACAGAAATGGGTAGTGGCAGAGAGAGGAAGCTCTGTTGGATGTCATTATGAAAGATGATTCCTGTACTGGATAATACATCATACCAGTACTGTCTGTCTTCTGCTTTACTGTGTTTTTATGTGAATAAATGCTGATAAACCCAGCGGCAGCAGTGATTATTACTTCCTACATATCACCACAAGAGAGGGGAGCAGGGAGAGAGAGAGAAAGGTGAGGGATGGAAAGAGAAGCAACACTAAACAAAGAGAGCCAGAGCACATAACTACCTCCAAAGTGGGAATCCTGAAAATCTGAGCTACCACAAGCTAAGTCATGGAAGGTTGACACATATTTAGGTGTTTTTCAGATGCAACTGTTTGCAAAGTTTTGCAAACTAGGCTGTCGATTACAAATCTTGATTGGTGTCATATTATAGCACATTAGGCTGACATCAGCTGATCCAGAGAGATTCAGATCAGGGATAAAAATTAAGATGTTGCCTGCCAACATACAAGTACATAAGGAGACTATTTTGCACTTGTTATATACACAGAGCTTTCCTCTCTTGCAGCCTGGCTCCGGGGTCTCACCCTGATCAGCTCATCCTGACACAGCTGGTTCCTGCCTTGCCTCACCTCACCTCCCTCCTTAAGACTGACCAGCAATACAATCTAATTACAGCCACGCTACAGAGGGAAACCAGTGTAAACACTAGCCCTTTTTATCTCCTTATACATCTGGACAAGTAGACAAAGTGCTAAAAGGAAATAAATGTGGCCTGACAGCCACATCAAAGAGTTCAGCCAGAGGCTTACTGCTACTTAGGGCACAGGAATGTTGTTGCTAAGCATCAGCCCGCAACCTATCAGGGTTCATAGAGGGCCCTGTCCTGCCTTAGAGATGGAAAAGGGGAAACGAGAGAAACGAAGAGGAGAGGGAGGACGAGGGGAGGGGGCTGACACTGAGGGGAGACTAGGGACTCAAGGAGATTTTTGTAGCTTAAAGCAATTGTTGGAAGAAACAAGCCTTCTGTTTTGTTTTCTCTTGACACCATTTCTGCTTTTTGTGCTTGCAAAAGACATGTATAAAAATTTCTTTTGATATGTTTTCTCTTTGGGTCTATATCAAAATATTTCTTTTGTGCCTGTGCATGGAACTTTTTTTTCCATGTCTTTTCTCTGTAAACGGGTGCTGCTTTCTGATCATGTTAGAGATCAGAGGAGACACAACTTGTGAACTTATTTGAGTCAACATTTAATGCTGGTGTGACACATTTATTTCTTCACTTGATAGAATTGTTTTTATGATTCATGTCTCAGTCTTCTGAAGTTAGGGGTTAAGAACACTACAACACTTTTAGAAAAAAAAAACAAAATGGGAAACAAATAAAGCTCGCAGCTTCTTACAACATGTAATGGCAAATATGACATAAGAAATGCTCCAATTCTCTATCAGCGATTGAATCCACCACAGGACTTGTGTATCACTCAGACTGAAGCCTAATATACATTTCAATATTATAATACAGTGAGAACACTTGAAAAAATTGTTTAAATGCATATCTTGCCAACAACATTCACAAAAGCAGGGTGAAAGGTACAACAGTCGTAGAGTAATTCAAAAAAAAATTTTGACCTTAATGATTCTGGCTTAGGGGAGCAGAGAAAAGAATATAATGTGTTTGAAATTGCTTTTGGGTGCATGAAAGGTATTCATTCTGTTTTCTTAGGTAATGGCAGGAGGGAAGAATATTTGATGTAATGGTGCCTGCACTTGTGGGTAGTGCAGCAGTCTATTGCTCAGCAGGGAGACTGCTGAGCGTGTGTTTAATGATTTACCAGTTCTACACCAGTGAACTTGCTCTGAGTAAATGTATTATATGATCAGTGATCACAAGAGCAACTGTTCTGATGTTTCACTCGGGGCACAAGGCGCACCATGCAAACCAGCAACAGCGAACACCGCCGTTTTGTGTATGGCGAAGCATCAGACAGGCAAAGGTTGAGTGCTACTGGACGTTAATCATCCGTAGCGATGACTCACAAATGGTAATAAGGACGTGTTTGTTTTTAGGTTGAAATTTAAAA